GCTCATTGATCCACTGTGTAATTCCCTGTTTACGCTTTGGCTCAAAGAACAAACAAATGTAAGATGACTTGCTGTATCGTTGCATCACATAACACCTAACTTCATAAAACTCACAGATGTCACACATGAGATGTTCAAAAACTTGTTTGAAAGAAGGCTCAGTTGGCAGCAAAACAACAAAAACCAACCAACAAAAGAACCCCTTATCATATCCGACTATGATGGGGTTCTATCATAGACTAACGATGTAAAGCTGGAAAATGTACATTTTATCCTCTTTTTTAAATTTTTTTTTTAGCACAAATGTGATCCAGTGCTGTTTCTTGAGTTATTCAGGAAGATTAAATGTGAATGTGGCTCAGCTAGTAATTTGGCCAATGCTGAGGTGGTGCTAATGGCCTGCCCATGCATGGAACATTTAGCAGCAGAATAACATAGCACATGTGGATACTTTAGTAGGGATTATTTTAAAATTCTAGGGACAGTGCTATTATGCAAGATATTCATGACACTAAATAAATCCAAGAAATTACACAAAAATCGATTTCTTATTAAATAAGGTTTAGTGATGGAGAAATAATTCACTAGGTTTAATGGTGTGTGTGAAAAGCTACTTGATAATAAACTTGTTTTTGATTTCTGAGTCTGATTCGGTGAAGGAAAGTCATTGCTGTCATGTAGTTAATGTTTTTCCTGGTTGCCAATAAATCAATATTTTTCAGAACACCCAAAGTTACTTTGAAAGTTAATCATTCTATTTGGTCTGTATATAATTTGTTTACCATCTGCTGGGTACTCCAGCAGGTTAGGAAGGCTAGAGTACTCCCAAATCGTGGTGGAGATTGGAAGACATTACAAAAGTTCACAAAACATGTTATTTGCCTAAAAGCTAGACAGCATATTCATCTCTCTATGAATTTTCTGAGTCTGAGCCTCCTGGTAAATACAGTCCCAGATCTCTCACGGAGCTCTACAGCCAGCACTTGTTCAGCTGCCCTAAGGTTGCTGTGCTCGGCAAATATACTCCATGATTCAGTTCAGGAGAGGTTAACTTAGCAAATATACGCCTGGGAAACGGGGATGTTCAGACAAATGAGGTTGGAGAGAACCACTGGGTGGTTAGGGTCAAGTACTGGTCTCTGAGGGAGATGTATCGACACTGTTTGTCCTTTGCATGGCCCTTAGCCCATTTTACATTTAACATTTACTTGAGAGATTCTGGATTATGGACTTCCTCCATTAAATCTAAAAATCCTGGCCTGGAAATGATGGAAGAAAAATTCTACAGGTTGTAAAATATATTTTTTTTGCATCCAAAGGCTTAGAAAAAGTTGAAATACACATTCTAAACAGAACACTGACCTGTTCAGTTGATATGGCAAACATGTTAGCCCTTGTTTCTAGTTGCGTTTCTGTGTCTGTCTGTCGTTCGGTGCTGCACAAGTTAAGTACATTGGGTTTTTAGAGCTTATTTGCTGAAATCTGTTTCTTGCTGTGTCTGAAAACAACACTGATAAAAGCGGTGAGAGTCAACTGTGCAGCGGTGAGAGACAACCAAAACAATGATCTGAAATCCACCTCTTGGGAACCAGAGGGTCGCCGGTTCAAGTCCCACAGGTGCCCTTGAGCAAGGCAACCTAACCCCGAAACCTGAAAGGGGTCTGTTCATCAGTCATACTCGACACTTATACGCCCAGCAACACATACACCTTTCACCAAAGCTGTCACATTGGTCTACTATCCTGAACTGAATCTGACACACAACACCTCCTGGTATCCTGTTTCAGCATTTAAGCATCTTCGTGTGCCCAGAATGCCATGCGTCGAGTTCCTCTTGCGATCTGCTCAAGGCCTGTGTGATTGTATGGGCGGCCGGTACTTCGTATCCAGACCAGCACAACAGTTGTAAGGAGAACGATAGGGCTGGCACGCCACGCCACCAGCAGTTGAGGAAAACTGCTCTCTCTGCGCGTGGGGACACCATGCGTGCTAGCCGCAGCAGTTCAGCCAAGGGTTGTCGCAATGAAGGGAAGAAGAAGAAGAAAGAAGAAGAAGAAGATATACTTTATTGATCCCCTAGGGGGAAATTGTTTTTTTCACTCTTTTTTTATATACACACACAGGCTGCAAATAACAGGTAGGCACATGTGGCATGCAAAGGGGAGAGATGGTGGATGTGATGGGGCTGCCGCGTTATCAGCGCTCATGAGTCGGGTTCAGGTTGCTTGCTTCAAGGGCACCTGTGGGACTTGACCGGCGACGCCCTCTGGTTCCCAAGAGGTGTGATTTCAGAATCATGCTGGTTTTGGTTGTCTCTCACTCGCTGCACAGTTGACTCTCAACCGCTTTTATCAGTGTTGTTTTCAGACACAGCAAGAACAGATTTCAGCAAATAAGCTCTAAAAACCAATGTACTGTAAAACTTGTGCAGCACCGAACGACAGACACGACACAGAAACGCAACTAAACAAGGGCGTAACATGTTTGCCATATCACTGAACAGGTCCAGTGTTCTGTTTAGATGTGTGATTTCAACTTTTTCTAAGCCTTACCCC